TATAACGGGAAACATTGATGATGTCATATCTGACATAAAAAAAATTGTTGTTCGATCTTTCTCAATGAAAGATCTTGACATTCTACGATATTTTTTAAGTATTGATGTATCTCGCTCTAGAAAAGGATTTTTTTTTTGGCATCAACGAAAATATACTCTTGACATATTATATGATTATGATATGACTAGTTCTCGACCATCAAATTTTCCTATGGAGCAACATCTTCGTTTACGACTAAAAGATGGTACTTCCCTTCCCGTTCCGTCAGTCTATCGTCGACTTGTGGATCGTCTTTTATATTTTACTGTACCGTGACCTTATATTCAATATGCTATAAATACTCCAAGTCAATTCATGCAATCTAAATATTACTCCCATCTTGATGTTGCCAATCGGGTTCTTCATTATCTTAAAGGTAGAGTTGGTAAATGTTTATTCCTTTCTGCTTCTAGTTTTCTTACTTTAGTCAGATATGCTGGCTCTGATTGAGTTGGCTATCATACGACTCGTCGCTCCACTATTGGTTATTTTACCATGTTAGATTTTAGTCCTATTTCTTGAAAAATCAAGAAATAACCAACAGTTTCTCGTTCTTCCACAAAGCAGAATATCGTTTCCTTCCAGCACTTCCTTTTGAGTTGCAATGGTTAAAATATCTGATCTCGAATCTTACTATTAATCATCAATAACCAATTCCAGTTTACTATGATAGCCAAGGTGATATTCACATTGCCAAAAATCCTATATTGCACGAATGCAGTAAACGTATTGAAATTAATTGTCATTTTGTTCGAGAAAAGATCAAGCAAATCTTCTCACTCCTTCCTACTTATAATCTAACGATCAATTGATGGACATTTTTACCAAACCACTTGGAGGTGGTGCTTATCGTCGACTACTTCGCAAGTTGGATGTTCTCGACATTTCAATCTCATCTCCAACTTGAGGGGGTATTGGATGAAAATAAAATCTTGTCAATTTTAATCTTTTAAATTTTAGATTAGAGTTTTTATGTATATTGTAAATTTCAATATTCTAGATTTTAGAGTTATCAATTTTTTTCATCTTTATGTGTGTCCGAATCTTTTAAATTCGTCTATAAATACAAAGCAATTGAATAAAATATATATACACAATTTAAAAAAAAACATTTTCTTTTTTCTCATTTTCATGTTAACCACTCAAAATAAGGCTTGGAGATTTGTGGGCCTAGTAAATTCTCTAGTTTATACATTACTAACGACTGAAAATTTGAAAATATGAAACTGTGGCCAAATCAAAATCTATAGTCACACAAACATAATCTATTTTCGGGACATACTAAATAGAACACATTTAGAGTGTATTTGGTAGAGATTAAAATCGGATTAAAATTGAAAAATTAGCTGTTATTGTTGACTTTTATTAGATAATAACGATTATATTTTCAATTTTAATTGAATTTTAAAATCTCCCAAACAAGCTCTTAAGAAATTCACCGTTCATAAAAAACATCTTATGCATAATAAAGAACATTTTCAAATTTTAGAAAGTAAAATATTTAATACATTCCAACAACGATATCTACTTTGACTCTTCATTTTTTTTTCAAAAACATTTTTTTCCCTTGTCTTTTATTTGACGCTTTTTTATATGTTAATTACCAATTAATTTAATTATGTTTTGAATAATTTAGTAAACCCCTATTTGATAGGAATTAAAATTAAAATTTTATATTCAAAATTAACAATTAATTTTAATCACATATTTTATGGGACCCACAATTTTTTAACAATATAGTTCATCTATTTTTATCAAAATTTAATAAAAATATGATTTTAATCCCCACCAAACATGGGCTAAATAGAGTATGGAAATGTGTATCTTATTAAATGCCATAATTATATAAAAAAAAAAAAAATTAAAAGTGAGTTGGCTCTCCAAAAAGTAGAGTTTTTAGAGAATCTCCAATGGGCACTTTATTTATAAAGAGTTATTCGTAATTGAGAAGTCTTTAAATTTAGACAAATAATTTATTATACACAACAACGCTGTTTATTTTTGCTTTTCTAAAAATATTTATTAATTTCTCATCGGCTTTTATTTAACGTATTTTTTATGTGTCAATAATAAATCAATTCAAATATGAATTGAATAATTTAAAAAATAGATTATTGAAATATGTAGTTTATTGAATACAAACAATATAAAAACCCTTGTTTAGTAGAGATTAAAATAAGATTTTTAATAGATTTTGATTAAAAATATTATGAAATGTATGGTTGAAAAGTTGTGAAATTCATAAAATATGTGGTTAAAATTAAGAATAATGTTATTTGCAGTCGTTCACTGCAACAGTCGCCCTATGTGACACACACATGTCAAGTGTGTATTTAATGTATTAATGTAGTAAAAAAACTACCACATTAATGCATCAAATAACTACATGACATGTGTGTGCCACATATGGCAATTGCTGCAGTGAGTGACTATGAATAGCATTACTCTAAAATTAATTGTTAATTTTGATCGTGATAAAAATTTAGATTAAAATCACTATCTAACAGGGACAAAATAAGAATAGAGAGAGTCAAAATAAAGGGTCTTTTGTAACTTATTTTAAGCATTCATATTTTAAAATAGAGAACGTCTTTGCATTTGGAGAGTTTCTTACCGATGTTCTCAAGCATTAAAATTCTAAATAGATAGCATTTTATATTTATAGGGTCTATTAGAGATTCACTTACATTAGCTATGTAATATCTTGTAATATTTTACAATTATGCTTGGTGTATATCATAGTGTACATCAAGTTTTACAGTTTATCACATGACAATACATCATTGAATAGTTCAAAAATGACACAATTATTTGGTCCAATCATTTGTTGACAAGTTGGATAACGTCAACAATAATTTATACAAAAAGGTGTACAAATTGCATTTCTTAATATTTTATCATTTCAATATTTACTATATCAATCTCCAATTGGTCATGATTCTCCACATTTGGCAAAGTGTTTGGTTGTGAGAGATTATTTGATATAAAAAAAATGATAATTTGGTGGAATGTGTTTTGAAAAAGTAAAAAAAATAAAATAAAATAATGAATTCACATGTAAAATTATTTTTATTAAAAGAATGTATTTGAGTAAAAATAATTTTCAATCAAGCTACGCGAAACGAGTGTTGAAAGTGAGTTCAAAAACATTAGGTCATGTGTGAAGTTGATTTTTTGAGAAATAATTTTGTAAAAATGCTTTTTTTGTAGACTTCATGGTTAAAAGTAGGAATAAGTTATGAATAAATGTGAAACAATTATTTTTTTTGAGAATGTGATTAAAAATGAATGTCAGAAAAAAAAATATCAAGTTTTACAGTTTATCACATGGCAACACATCATTGAATAGTTCAAAAATAACACAATTATTTGGTCCAATCATTTGTTGACAAGTTGGATAACGTCAACAATAATTTATACAAAAAGGTGTACAAATTGCATTTCTTAATATTTTATCATTTCAATATTTACTATATGAATCTCCAATTGGTCACGATTCTCCACATTTGGCAAAGTGTTTGGTTGTGAGAGATTATTTGATATAAAAAAAATGATAATTTGGTGGAATGTGTTTTGAAAAAGTAAATAAAATAAAATAAAATAATGAATTCACATGTAAAATTATTTTTATTAAAAGAATGTATTTGAGTAAAAATAATTTTCAATCAAGCTATGCGAAACGAGTGTTGAAAGTGAGTTCAAAAACATTAGGTCATCGTGTGAAGTTGATTTTTTGAGAAATAATTTTGTAAAAATGCTTTTTTTGTAGACTTCATGGTTAAAAGTAGGAATAAGTTATGAATAAATGTGAAAAAATTATTTTTTTTTGAGAATGTGATTAAAAATGAATGTCAGAAAAAAAAAGACTTTTAAACAAATCTATTTCAAAGAAGGGCGGATTATTTATAGTTAAAGGTTCAAGAAAAAAATAACATTGGAGGTCCCCACCTATTAGCATTTTTACAAGTCGGACTCTAGTCGTCTTCAAATTTCAATTGTGTTAGCAAATTGGTCTCCAATAATCATTTGCTTATCTATTTTACCAATTTGAAAATATTATTATTTCTATTTAAAAATTATTACAATTGTGGAGATTTGAGTAGGACCCACAATAATATTATTGCCTTCAATAGGGTGGAGTTGGGCAACTATTTTCTTAGCTTTTCTGTTTACTTGTTCATATTTCACTCTTTAAAAGTCACACCTATAGCTCCCGGGATTAAAATTAAATTTTTAATAAAATTTGATAAAATATGTGATTAAAAATTTACGAATCCCATAAAATATTTAATTAAAATTAATTATTGATTTTGACTACCAAATAGGGGCATAAATTAATTGTTTTTTGAGCGATAAAGTGGATGAAAATCATCTATTAAAAACTAATATTTGTAAATTTTAATATAATTAAGTAGATTGTTCATCTTCTTGATGAAGCAAAAACTTCAAGTTTTATAATATTAATCCTAACATTTATTAGTTAAGCTAAATGATGTTTCCTAATTATGAATTAGGGACATAATCGTTATTTCGTGGCACGTTAACGTATGTCTTAAGACATCCACCAATTGTCCACAACTCCATTACCAATAAATTCATTTTAATAAAGCAGATAGAGGAACTTCATGCCGAGAAAGCTGTTGTGACTTTTGTCTTTTGTATAATTTATGAATTTCTAGGACAAAATCCCAATATTTTTACAACATGGTCCTTGCCGCCTGACGTATTTATTTCGTGTTTGATTCTCTTTCAATTTTCCATTTTAGCTTCCATTAGTTAGTACAGCTACAGCACCATTGACAACTTCTGTCTGTTTTTCACTTTTTCAAGTAATGTAGTCAATAGTTTTTTGTGTCTCTTCATAGTACTACTTTAAAGGTTTAAAAGACACTTTAGCCATTAGGTTCAAAATTCAAACCAAGCTTTACTTTTTTCTCCGGTGGTGGAGTTGATCGGAAAAATGGGATTGATGCTGGGGAGTAGACCGCCGCACAAGGCTGGCATTGGTGGCAATGTTGGTGTACCTACAAGATGGGTCTCTTTTTTATGCATTGCTAGCTTTTGCTTGGGAGTTCTTGTCATCAACCGGTACTCTTTTTCTGCCCATTCTCGAACCCATCCTATTTTTGAGCTTTAATATTCTTTGGTTATATTTTCTTGAAATGATCTAGCGGATTGTTCATTTCTTCAAACTCTCTATTAAAATTTAGATTGGGTATCATATCCCTGATTTACATTTGCATTAAGCAGAGGGGGCTTGGGGGGGGGGGGGGGGGGGGGGGGGGGGGGGGGGGGGGGGGGGGGGGGGGGGGGGGGGGGGGCGGGGCGGGGGGGGGGGGGGGGGGGGGGGGGGGGGGGGGGCCCCCCCCCCCCCCCCCTGCTTACTGCAGAACCAGATACAAAAATGTTGTCTTTTTAGTATAGTAGCTTACCAGAATTACACTTATTTTTCAAGAAGGTTTCTTTGTCCAAAGCTAATGTTGTCCAAATTATTGATTTTTCCTTTTCATATCCTTGTTCACGGGATCTGAAGTTGGATTGCTTGCTACTTCACTAGACCACATAAAATTAAGGCTAATGTTACAATGTCAATATGCCACATATAAATTCCAGCAAGAGATAGTTTTGAAACCCCCTGTGGAATTTAATTGATGTTCTTTTGAATATTATAGTTGATTTCCAATGTCAAGAACTGGTCGAGAATTCTTATTGAAATGTTGGTGCCGCCAGTGGTTGTTTGAATTCTTGATGATGAACGATGCTGTGAAGAATTTTTCTAGTTGATTGATCTCATGTAATTCGTTACATTCACTTATTATTTTTCGGTGTAATGCATTTTACAAGTATTTGAAAGATCGAGTTTAAGAAGCAAGAGAAGTGGATAGATGATTAGTGAAAGAATGATAGTAGAAAGGACTCTTATCTTGTGACTTGGAAGTAAGGTTTAGAAAATCTAGGAAATGAAGTCTAATTGAAAAAATCAACAGATTCTTTCTTCTCATGGAGAAGATCGTAGATGTGATTGCCCTTATAGAAAACAAAAAAAGGCCCACATTGTTTGTAGTATAGCAAAATGTGAAATCCCTCATAGAAAAGGAATAAAAGGAGAAAGGTAAGAGATGTAAAAATAAAAACTAGAACAAAAAAAGAAGCAGTCCACCAAAAGAAAAGAGATAACTAAATGTGGAGATTTGACGCAATGGTTGAGCTGTAAATGTCATAGGCATATTACTGAAATATGTATAAGTTTTGTGTCTTTGGTTCTTTTGGCTTGCTTCGTTATTCTTTTATTTATCTATCTTTGTCACGCAAGGAGGGAAAATAAAGGTGTTTTTCCCAATTTGTTTTGTCTGCTTGTGGTAGTTTCTTGCCGCTTTCCGATGCTCAGATACTAAAGGATGAAAATTGCATTGAAAATTTTAGAATTCCTCTCTCGTACTGTTGGAAAAATGAGTACTTCTTTACTGGTTTTGCCCTTTGTATCTTGATAAGTAGACAGTGGATAAGGACAAGGCCCTGGTGGCGGGCTTTTGGATAAGAGACTGACGATAGCTTACAAGGGGGTCCATGGATAAATTTATGATAATTATAGACCCGGAAATTTGTTTTGCCAATCATCTTTCCTTTGATTATAAAAGTTCAGCATAAGAAAGATTATGTATTGAAGTCCTTGTTGGACAACAAGATGATCCATTTAGCTACGATTCTCTCTCAAGCTTGAATGCTTGATGAGTCTTTGCATGTGTTGTTTCCAATATATAGTTTGCACACTCATCAAAATTTGCAAATTCTGCATCCATATGGCTTCATGTTTGACCTCAATATTCTTTGACAATCTATTTGCTCTTTTAGGCTTTGGAATTTTCCTGATTCATTCAATACGGATAAAGATGTTATATCTGTGGGTAATCACCTGTACAGAGATATTCACCCTCTAATTCCGTGTGGGAAGAAGGCAAGTCACCACCATGGTTTTTGTTTTAGGCCCTACAAATTTCACAAAATATTTATGGAATTTTCCTACCATATTGCAGGAAGCTTTCCAGGCAGGAGACATCCTTTCTCAAGTTTCACAAACTCATGATGTAATCATGTAACTTTCTTATCCAGCATTTAGCAATTTTGCTCATAATGCATCTTTATCTTAATTCTTTTTCCAAAAAATAATTTAGTTACCAAGTTGGTTTCTGAACTCTATTCGGATAGTCTTATCGTACATTCGTGGTTCAATGCCTTAGGACATTAGACAAAAGCATATCTTCACTGGAAATGCAGCTTGCTGGAGCAAGAGCAGCTAAAGCAGAAAATGAAGAAAAATCAGGAAATGAACGGTCAAGTGACCGACCCAAGGCGTTCTTTGTCATGGGTATCATTACAGCATTCAGTAGCCGAAAACGCAGAGATTCTATTAGAGAAAATTGGATGCCTCAAGGTTCAATATTTAACATTAATGGCTCTGAGAACTTTGTAGTATAATTACTTCAGTTTTTTTTCTTTTTTGGTCTATACTAGGGGAGGATTTAAAGAAGCTAGAGAAAGAGAAAGGAATTATAATTCGGTTTGTGATAGGACACAGGTAAGTTTCCCTTGGTACCAAAAGTTATGGGCTTTTATGAAAAGAATACCCTTTAGGTCTTGATATTTGTTGCATCCATAATGTGGATTTTGTTTGCTGTCAGTGCATCACCTGGTGGGGTTTTGGATCGTGCTATTGATGCCGAAGATGCACAGCATAAGGATTTCTTGCGATTGGTAGTCTACAACCTGTATTCGTTACATATTTTTGAGGCCCCAATTCAACCCTGACTTCACAACTCCCTCTCTCTCACTCCTAATGAAGGAAGGGAAACCTAAATGATGATTAAAGGATAAATATGAATTTGTTCTAACATTCGTGTGAAGTTTCAAAACAGTTGGCTCAGCCACGTGCTAACTTTTCAACTCATCCATGGAAAAAAAAAGAGCATGTTTGAGGTGGAATCTGGCTCATATATCATACTGTATTTGAGATGGACACATTCTGAAATAGCCAGATGATTTAGCTATCATATTTAGCATTTGTCACACATTGGGTTTTTGTTAGGCTTATTTTTTCTCCTCTAATGAATATTATGCATTTGAACCTCACTACTTTACGTGAGACTGAAACAATTTAAATTGCAGAATCATGTAGAAGGATATCATGAATTGTCCTCAAAAACCCAAATCTACTTTTCGAGCGCTGCTGCCAAGTGGGATGCTGACTTTTACATAAAAGTAGATGATGATGTTCATGTTAATCTTGGTCAGCACAACCCTTCTCCAGAACTACTTTCTGAGTTAACTCTTGCATGAATTATTGATGGTTGGACTGTTGATAGGGCTCCACATTGGTTATTTTCTTGACAGGTATGGTAGGTTCATTGTTGGCCCGCCATCGGTCTAAACCTCGTGTTTACATTGGTTGCATGAAGTCTGGACCTGTCCTGGCACAGAAGTAAGTCTTATAAAGCTGGTGATCTACGTCTTTGTAGTATTTTCATGTTCTCATAACTAAGATGCCATATACGCAGAGGGGTCAAGTACCATGAACCAGAGTACTGGAAATTTGGTGAGGAAGGAAACAAGTACTTTAGGCATGCAACAGGACAAATATACGCTATTTCCAAAGATTTGGCAACCTACATTTCTGTTAACAGGTAAATCCTTTCTTTGAATTTCTGATGTAGATGCACTTGGAAACAAAATGCTTTTAGTTGTTGAAGATACTAGTTCTTGACGGCAATTATTTTTCCCTAGACATGTACTTCATAGGTATGCAAACGAAGATGTTTCTCTTGGATCTTGGTTTATTGGTCTAGATGTTGAGCATATTGATGATCGAAGCCTCTGCTGTGGGACGCCCCCTGGTAAGTTTTTTTTCCACATCCCTTTGTCGTTCACAGCCTTCCTTGAATCTAGATTTCCTTTTACTTGCAGCCACAATCAAGTTCACGAATTTCTAGTTTACCGGATGAGCGAGATTTTATCTAAACACCCCTACTCTGATCAGAAAGCACACGTTGCCTTTATATTGGCAAAAAATCTATCCTGCACGCGTGCACATGAACTCACGCACACACTCGAGCACGTGCTTAGTTGCTACTTATTCTGAACCTATGATATTTGCTCTTTATTTTAAAAGACTGTGAGTGGAAGGCCCAAGCTGGGAACCCATGCGCTGCATCGTTTGATTGGAGCTGTAGTGGCATATGTAAATCGGCTGAAAGAATGGAAGAGGTTCATCAGAGGTGTGGTGAGGGTGATGGAGCAATCTGGCATACCAGTTTCTAAAACCTTTGCTCTATATATAACTCAGTGGCTGTAATATATACATTTGTGCATGTTGTAATGAAAAGTATGGCCAGGGGTTATCAATCTTCCCCATTTTTTGCTAATTACTAATTTATTTGCTTTAAATACAAGAGAAAATTACCTGGATCCTTGCTTTTAAGTATTCAATTTCAAAAATCAGGTGTTGTGTTTATTTAATAAAAAATCAGGTGTTAATTCAATTAATAATTAAAATCCAAATTAAAACCCAATTTATTTTCAGTAGCAGCCTCACTCCTCTCTCCCTCCGCACCCATCTTCTCTTTTCTTTCAACATAGCGGAGCCGCCCTGGAAGAGAGCTGCCTGCGCAGCGACGACCCCACCGAGAGAGAACTGTTAGTAGAGGTTCCTGTGAACGATGGCGATGCTCATCTTCTGTGAGCTCTGTTCGCCAATCTTCCCTGCTACTCGCCGCAACGATCATCTTCGATCGTCTTTAAGTGGCGGCGTTCTGTTCGCCGCTGCACCCGTTGCTTAGAGCGCCGCCCAGCTCTAATCTAAGTCGACTACGGCAGGATGAAGGAGATTGGGTCAGCATCCGAACAGGTGCCGTCTAGATGGTGATGTCAATCTGATTTTGGTTTCCGATCTGCATACTCTATCTTCGACACCACTGTGTTTTGGTGGTTGTTGTGGTGCAGGCGTCGGGTTTTTTTGTATATGTGGATGCAGGTTTGATTATGGGTGGTTTGTGCTATACGCCAATCTTGCCGAACAAATTTTGATTCATAATTTCAAGGGGGAAATCTAAAAGGAAGTTTCATAAACCCACCATTTTTGTAGAAGTTAATGTGGATTTATTTCTATGTGGGAACTCCAAGGCTACGTGATGGTTACCTGGTTACTGCTGCTTCTGGTTGCTGGTAATGAACAAGTCTTCTGAAAGTAATTAGGCTTGCTGCTTTTGGTTGTTGTACCTGCCATATGCTATCGCTTGCTGATTTTGATTGCTGCTTCTACCACTGGAATTGTGGATTTGAAGTTGGTGGCGGCGGTGGTT